TCCTTCGTCATAATATGACATGCGTTAAGAACTAACCCACTACAGTATCTGTCCTGGTGAAGGATCGCCTGTCATGCTTCGCCATCATCTACCGAAATGAGCTAGCTACTTGCTTATGGATTATTAATTCATGAACCCTCCTTGAGCCATGTGGGTTTGGTGCACTTGTGGGTTTGTAGCCTCCGCGGGTTCGTGGGTTCATGGATTCGGTACTATTTTCACCGGACCCGGGGTAGTAGTGCTCGCAGTATTATCTGTGCAGCCTGTGCTTACTTTCGGAAGGTCAAAGCTTGAGCCGCCTTCGCCTGCAGTATGCCTCCTTGACTACCAGGAATACTCTCTCCATGGGGAACATGGGAAAGCGAGCACATATTACTACAGTGCATATCACCCTCTATGTGAGACTGAAACACAAGATCGCAAATACCGGCCACAAACCTTGCTCGAGAACTGTCTTCCTTGACAGGTTCACCGGCAGGAACCTTGTTCTACCTGAAAGTTGACAGAAAACGATGGCTCTCACATCCCGGGATGTCGATCATGGTGTGTATACATCAGACGGGCCAAGGCCAGTAAACTCGGCACTGCGGGATCACTGAGCCACACAAGTATCATTTCGCTAATCTATGCGTGCTCCTTTTTATATGGGATGGCGGAGAGAGTGAACAAAAAAGGCAAAAAAGGAGCTATGCGGGATGTTGAGACGTGGCTTGCTCTTTAAGACCAGGTATGTAGATCACCTAAGGTGGCGTCCAAATCCTAGGGGAATCCTAGGCCGGTTTGACTACTTTGCAATTACTAGCACGATTTCAACACTCAGCTTTACGGGCGTATGGTCACGCTATCATGTATCCTGTGGCTTGTTCGGTCTCTCAAATCGCTATACTAGCTTTGTAAAACTAATGTCATCGTCAGTGGTGGAGCTAACCAGATGAGTGTTGAAGCCACGAGAAAGTAGTGTGGACATGAACATCATCGGCCTTGCTAGTCGGACGGATAAACTCGGGAGTAAATACACCATCGGAATCATGCTTCAGTCTCAAAGCTGAAGGAAATTCAGGCCCGCCCATATCAGTGCCCATATCAGTGAGTCCAGCTCGTGCTCCATTCAAGCTCCGCTGAGAATGGTTAAGTTAACTGGGAATACGAAAGGGTACGTTGACACTTCCATGGAGATTCCACTCAGCTCCGCCGCAAGATTATAAGATTAAACAATAGCGGTCTCGAACCATAAATGGAAGCTGGTTGATGAGGCTCCTAAACGCTTTGCACGAAGCACTGCAGCCAATATGCCGTATGCCGTTTACCGTATGCTGTATCAGGAGCGCCACAGCGCTGTGTTCGATTGCCACAAACCACAAACTCGATTCTTGACGAGTTGATGGGTAGACACCCTTGCATGATAATTTAAGTCTGCAAGTCAGCTGCCGGTGATAGATAACAATTGCCGGTTGTAGTTGGGCAGACTCCCGTTCCACGATACCTAAGCCAAGCCTATGCCATCCTCTCATCATTGGAGGGGCCCATGAGCTCTCCACAAGTTGTCGGCTTTTGTTTTCTTGCCTAGCTCGTAAGGCCCCGGGCTTTTCGGCCGGATTCGCTGCCGGCATGTTCGACGATCTTACGAATACAACCGAAGCTAGTTATTTCATCTCATCTCGTAGAGATCTAGTACGAGTGAATGTCTGCCAGCCATCTCCAAGGCCTAATGCACAGCGCCGCGGCAATCCGACAGGTAAGGCAAAGCAAGGCCAGGTAAGGCATAGGAAAAGGAAGAGAAAAAAAAAAGGTCATCCCTCCTTTCTGCACCGATTATTACCTGCGTGGCGGGGGCGAGACTGAACGCCCAGCTTCCTTTCCGTTTCTAGCTCCATCAGCCCATACCCTGAGAGGAGAATATTAGCGAATTGCGGATTCGGGGTCCAAAGGGATGAAGTGGGATTTTTGGGATAATTTGCCCAGAGCTCTGGTCCGTCAAGTAATAATCAGCCACTAACGCCAATGAAGCTAGGTAGGCAGGTAGTCGACGAACAGAGGACATGGGCGGCTCATCCCTCTCGGCCGACAAACATCCAGGCATACCCAGCAAGCCCGGCATGGTTTACTATCTTGGTATGTACCACAGTACTGCTAGTCTACTACCTTGTAAGTAGGTACGGTATGTACATATTATTAGCGTTATTAGACATGGATTTCTAATACTAGGTAATAATGAAATACATATTCGTCGTGTCCGCCATTCCTCCCCCCTCCCCAAGAGCTCAAGCGGAAATCCGCGACGGGGACTAGCCAAGTGGAAACCAGTGGAGAAATCAACATTAGCAATGTATGAAAAGCGACGTATGAGTTTCCCGAGCTGGCCTAGCAGCCCGGGCTATCCCAAGTCTTCTCGGTTGTCGATCGTACCATATTGTAGTAGTCTATATGAGGTTTTCGCCTTGAATAGATTCATACCAAGTTCACTAACAGTAGTCTCCGAGATTCTCGAACCCGAAGTCCTTGGCCTACCTTGACAGTTTTTAAAATCAAGGGGAGGTCGAGAACCCGGCCTTTAACTAACCTCAACATTAGGCTTATTCGAGCTTTAGTGCGCGGCTATAGTGTAGTCGTCCCGTCTGCAAAAGGTCCATGCAGTTACGCGACTCGCTAAGTAGTACAAAAGCTGCTAGTTGCTAGCGACAACGGTTTTTTGGCCCTTTCGCCGCGATACCAGGCCAGGCAGGCAGGTAGGCAGAAGTCTTTGTTAGTGCACCCAGAGGGCTGGAATCGCACTAAAGCGCTACAGGGCTACATGCTACGTGCCACAATGCCGGCGCATAAGCTCCTCGATCCATGGATAGATGGCAGCGTTATGTATGTGTGCGTGTGCATGTAGTGTATGTGTACTATGCCGTATGCCTGTCTGTCTGTCCGTCTGTTACCAATTAGCCGTTATTTTCGTACATGTAGCAGTAATTATACGATGCACTATCTTAAGCAGTTGGACCAACTTTGAGAAATTGTTCCTTGCTACTTGGAGTATCAGCCGTAAGTAGATACATGGTCTGGAACCTGCTTTCCTAAGCGTTTAATACTCCAGACTTACTATACGCGATCTTGGCCGGCTCTCTTCACATACGGCATAGTCCCAAGGTGTACTAATGTAATAACCGATCAGCGCCTAATAGCCAAGTACCGAGCGAAGCCCAGTCTTTACTAGTTATTAGTCAAGGCTTAGGTATACTGATATATCGATTACATATACCACGTAGTATGTAGTACATACTACATAGTTAGTGTAGGTATGTATGTGAAAGAGATAGACAGACTGGAGTTGTTGTTGTTGCAACTTACCAGTGACCTTACATACATGGATACATAGTACTTCGTACACACATAACTAACTACCTACATGTACATGTAGTACCACTAGGTATGTAGGTAGCACGCCTGTTTCCTGGTTGGAGCTAGCCCCCTTTAATTGTTTCTGAGAGTTACATGGTTACTTCAAGTTACGTATCAAGTGAATCCATGGGTAGGTATAGTACCACGGTACGGTAGCCCCTCGCCTAAGCTTCCTAATTACCCCATATACATATAGCACGTTTCACAGGCATGCAACTCTAATGATAGGTTGACAAACGCGCTTTGGGTATGTATTGTACTCTTGCATGTAAATGTCTATGGACGAGTACATACAGTTTGTAGTACATAACTCTAAATTGAACATCGAATGCTACAATGTACATAATTATGTATAACTTCGTTCATGTACACCACGATCCGAGTACTTACAAAGTCTTACATACATGTAGTACATGATACTTACCACCTACGCGGGTTGTTTTTACGGGGATGGCACCTGAGATGTCTTAGTCGAGTACATGAGGTACATCTACATTTGTCGATCAGCTCCGTTGACTAAAAAAGTACCGGTTCCACATGAAATCGACATCATTCTCAATTCATTCCCACATCCCACAAACAAACAAGAGACCCCCCCCCCCCCCCCCATGTTTTATTCCAAGATGCATTACCAAGACTTGCCGTTTTATTACCATATCTTTTATTCCTATTTCCCAATCCCATCGTCACTCTCGCGTGGAATTTACGGGGGTTTGCCTTATGATCTATGATCTCCACGCATCCCTCCTTAGCTTATCGGCGTAACCCCGTAAGAACCTTGGTCCCCGAGTCTACCCTTCACTCTCGTCTCCCTTCCCTTTACTGGCTACCCTTTAGTAGGGCCTTTACCATACATGGTACATGCCATACAAGTACCGTGCCTACTAAGTTCTTGTTCTTCCCCATGTCCAGATGTCGTTCCTTGTCAAATATGTACGAAGTACTTCGTACATGCTGCGTACCTGGGTAGGTAGTGTGTATCCTAACCGAGCCGCCGTACTTGACAGGTACTTCTCCGTATAGTATCCTATAGTATCCTATAGTGTACGATACTATCTATACTATGTTATACTAACTATACGATATCATCGAGGCCTACATAAGACTACTATAGGTACATACATACTACTGAATTAGTAGCTGAGCTACAGACGTATGCCATGCCATACCATGCCACGCTCGGCGGTTTTCGCGCACTAGACAAGGCTTGTAAGCGGGTGACTAGGTAATCTAAGGTAGATGTTTCCCGCAAACTGGGACCATCACCATGCCGTCGGAGCCGACACTCAAGAAGGTAATGCAGCAGCCAGCAGGAGTGGAAAGCGCCTGCCTTGGATTGTGACCAGGGGTAACAAGTAACCGGCCGTGTCTACCTACATAGTACTAACTTGCCGTAGTCCATACATACTTCTTACATCTACTACCTACATACCTACGGTCCATGAGAGTCTAGGTTAGTCACTTCAAGGTAACTTGTATTCCTACACCTACAATCTCATCTCTCTTCCCTTGACCAGGTATATTGACCCCGGAATTCAGCAACAAGCCCACTTGCATGATCGGCTTTGCTACTGGAAGATACCAAATATATACAATATAGCATCTCATCCTCCCATTCCATTTCCCTTGGTGTCTTTTCTCCCTTTCTCCTCGGATCATATTTCCTCGACGACAACGCTAGATTACTTACTGTATCGGTACATGCAACTCACGTGTGACCTTGAGACGCCGCTTAACTTACGAGGGCTCACTTACCTATTGTATATTGGCTCAACCTGACTTGACCATCACACGAGAGTCGGGATCCTATCGATCACTTTCGCCTCCGTCAGCTTTTAGATCTGACACTGTTCGCCGCCTTTTGCTACATATATACTGCCTTCCAGCAGTTTTCAGCAGTTTTTTTTCGCCGACTTATACTAAACATACCACGGATACAGTCTGTATTGGATAACAGCAGAAACATATTGGCCAATTACCCGGAAGTCTGGCCACCCTTAGCGACTCGGCTCCAAGACTTACAGCTCGGAGGGTGTGTTCGACTGCGACTACGAGTGTGTGTGTGTGTGTACTGCTTAGCTGCGCCGCCGAAGGTCCTTTACCCGGCAGATACCCAAAACACAGCTAACTAAGCGTCTCTTCTACGCCGTGTCCTTGTGGATCACATAAAGTTGACCTGAAATACTTCCAACCAACTGTCTAGCCCTAGTTTGATATGTTATAAGGGGAAAACAACTTCGCATTCGCTCTCAATGGGGGTACCACTTAAACTAGAATTTCAACGTCCGTTAGCTATCCCTGGTACGCCCCCCGGCCTAATGAGCCCCAGATCTTCAACCCTCAAACGCAGGATATCCGAAGAAGCGGCATACGCCTCTTCTATCCTCCCCATATCCCCTCCCATGTCTAGCTATGATCCGAGCACCAGGGCCGAGATGTATGGATTAAGGGATCCGGAAGATGACCAAAGCCGAAGGGATTACTCTAACAATGCACCCCGGCAGCAGCAGCTACCATCGCTGAGTAGCTTGTTTGGACCTCCTCATCACTCCCGCTCCGGACTCTCTCCTATCCTGGATCGGCCCAGCCCTGTTAATGGTACGCATTCTCCCTTGGATCGACCTCACTCGAGAAGCTCCTCCTACTTCCCAAACGCCTCTTCGCCACCGAACCAACCACGTAGTATCTATGAGCCAAGAACGGAAGTTGAAAGGCCAACACTACCGTCCGTGGCTTCTCAGTTCCCCGGCCCGCTCAGATCACCAACCCACGAGATCGAGCCCTCGCAACATTCAGCACGAAGCGAGCATGCTTCGGCTTCAAGATGGCCTGCTTTTGGTCAAGCGGATCCAAGGCGGGAGTACGTGTTCGAGTCGAGGCCACCAACTCCCCCCTTCAGGCCAGTTACTGCTGACCGCATGCCGCTTCCTCCCTTGAACCAACGACTGGGCTTCGAGCAAAGCCCAGTATTTAACAGGAAAGCTCGACTACATCTAGAGCCGCCAAACCGGTCACCAACTTTAGCCAGCACCATTGCGCCAGAAGGGACACCTGTGAAAGACGGACTAGGGCCCAAAATATGGACAGGGACGCATTTCCTGCCTCGTTTTGTGAAGCAGGCCGAAGTGCCTGGAGAGGGTTCGTGCTACTTTTATGATGATGGGACTCACTGCAAAACTGTTATTGATGGAGAGCCGGTAAATGCTCACTGGGGTGTGACAAAAGCTGGGAAGCCAAGGAAGCGTCTTGCGATAGCTTGTCTCACTTGTCGAGAGAAGAAGATTAAGTGCGACCCTGACTACCCCAGATGTGTCCAATGCGAGAAATTTGGACGAGTCTGCAAATTCAAGAATGCGTGAGTCTTGAAACCCCTACCGCTCTTACAAGGGGTAATCGGTTCCACTAGAATACTAACATTTAATAGCCCTCGTGGTGGCCACAACACTTCACCAGTGTCTTCACCTGCGGAGCATGAGATACCCAGGCAACTATCACAGCAAAATGGAATGGACTATGGGAGACAGAGGAGTAACTCTAGCACATCGGTTTCGCCACGAACCAAACATCGCCTGGAGTCTCCTGAATTATTACTTCCAGCCATATCGGCCAAGAGAATGAGATATTCGTACGAGGATTATCCACGGCACGCACCACCACCGCCGAGCAATCACCCTCCTCCGATGATTCCTATTCCAGAAATTAGGAGGGCAGCGAGTAGTGGCATGCCGGCCTGGCAACAACACCACGAATTGCCTCGAGACATCCTTTGCCGGCCATGGCAACCTGACTCGTACGTCTCTATTTTTTAAGCAATCACAACCACGATCATCCACTCGCATTATGGCCACGGCGTCAATTCGCTTGAATCCCGCCTTTCTCACATACCCTTAAATGATCAAGTCTTACTAGTCCTCATACTCATATCTAAACCTACAGAAGACCCCATGCTCGCGTATAGAACTTTGCAGTTGGATCACATTATTGCTGAGCTGAAGAAGCTCGCCAATGGATATCGTATTCAACTTGAAAATTAGAGCCGAGATGGTTCTATTTTCCCAGAATCGAAGCGCACCGTCAAGCATGGAATGCATGGTCATATTTACTGGGTGGAAGTCAATCACGAAGAGAAGAAAACCGGTGGGGCCCAGCGTCGAAAGCAACGGCGGTGAAAGACGAAGCATTCGATTGCCGGGGAGGATATTGATTACATGCTCGCCGATTTAACCGACGAGGTCCCTCGTTCAACGTCATATACTCTATACGGCCCTATAACAGGGATATGGATGACGGATACGGGGATCTACAAGTAAACGGAGACGAGCAAGGAAAAGAAGTATCAAGGGTCAAGCATACCTAGGGATGAGCATAAACATCCTGTGGAGCAAGTCCCTGAGATCACAGTCAGCATACGAGGAATATCAAGCAGGCTGGGAGTTGGGACTTGCATCTTGCATGAACAAACCCTTTGGGAAAGGCTACTAGGCCTGTTGCCAAGTACAGTTGGCTAAAGTTGCGGAGGCTTCGATTTTTTTTATACATTTTCTTGGTGAAAATCACACCCTAACGAAGTCCTTCGAGGTATAACGACGCTAAACAACGCTACACGACGATCCCAACACAACCATCTAGATTTCCATCTAAGTGTTTATTTTTAATCACGACGCATTCTACTTTTTGCATCTTCAACAGGCAGGCGTTTCTGGTTTCAATCTTACCTGCTTTTTTTTGTTGGTTTTGAAGCGGTCTGGAAGCATTTATGAGGGCAGACACGGGGATGGTTTATCATATATCCATTACTTGTTTTTTGCATTGGGTGGCTTTTTTACCATGCATTTCTATTTCTATTTTTTTTTTTATCATGCTTCCGCCTTGCAAGCGGTTTGCTGATTCCAGTTTCATGTATATTGTTTTACAAGAATACCCTGTACCATACCAATCTTCACCACGGGATTGTTTTGTATTTTAAGCATAGCATACGAGAGAGAGAGATGAGTGGAAACACTAGTAGAATAGTGAGATAGTGAAAGTGAGAAGGAGGCAAAATGGGGAAAACAAACAAACGAATGAAAGAGAGAATATCTACTTTAGCATGCAAACTACCGACAGGCAGCAGCCACTTACTGTCGTCCCGAGATCATGAGCCAACGTGCTAAGTTTAGGTACCTGTAAATAAAAAGGGTCCTTCTGCATCACCATCCCCATCCCCCAACCTGCTTGCCTTAGGGGGGATCTTTCCGTGCCGTTCTAACTAGCAATAGCAAATGCCTACTTGTACATACATAGGTAGGTAGGCCAAGTTATGTCTCTTCTCGCTTGACGGCCAAGGAAGGGGATGCACGTTGGTCAAGGTCGCATGATCCCAATTGCTGTCTCAAAGGGGAAGCAAGTCCTTCTCGTGCGACGGTTGGATAGATGAGGCATAGGCAGGCAGGCTATGTAGGAGGTTTATTTCTTTCCTGTGATTACTTTACCGTCAGATCATAACACGATTTAGATCCATGCCATGCAGACTTAGAGCTATGATAGTTCTCACGCTTGCTCCAATGTAGTGTTCTCTTTCTCTTATTTTCCGTGGGCCTCATTCATCACTCTCGGTAGGTTAGGCCATATATCGGCCGAAGGAAGAGAATCTCTATTACTTACCCCCTTTTCTGACAGGAACTTCGTGGTAATACGCGCCCAGTCAGTTACTTTTTCTTGCTTTTTTTCTTTGATCCTTTTTTTCTTTTCTTGTTCATCCGTTCGTGATATCAATAATTCTACGGACCAGACCCCTAAAACGGAACTCTGACCCGGCTGCTCCTCGGCACACTCGCCCCCATCCATTCCCCTCCTCCTCCTCGTAGGTAGGTAAGTAGGCAGCCTACCTACGAGACCCGTGCTTGGGCCACAGCATACACCAAATCGGGAGTTATACATACATAGCTTAACGGTAGGTAGGTAGGTAGGTAGGTAGCCAAGCAAGTAATGTAGGTAGTGTAGATAGGGTACATTAGATTCATCGGAGTTACGAAAGTTCTTCATTTCGCGCGCGAGCGCCGGCGACTAGGTAAGAATGCGTGTTACGGCCGGCTTGGGAAAAGCGCCAGAAATCAAGGAACGAAGCAGTACCTGATAGGTGAGTAAGTTGGCGCAGGCTAGGACCAGGTGCCCCAACTTAGCTTAGGGGGATGTTTTTTCTCCCACGTTCGTCATCCCCATGTAAGACCGGGACTTGTTATTGTTGTGTAGAATAATGTATGTATGTACGTATACGCACATACTATTATGTAGGCTGACCTTGCAGCTGAGAAGGGGTAGGTAGGGGAGGGCAGGAGAAATAAAAAACCACGTTGCACGAATGCTTGCTTGCCGCTGCCTGTCAGCTATTATACATACAACAATGTCTCGAAGCCACGCATGGTGGCGTAACACACCTACGGCAGATGGAGGAGGGAAAGGTTGTTTGTTGTTACTGTTGTTCCTTCTATGTAGTTAGGTATATACCTGACCTACCTACATATTACCTACAGCTACATACCTACTAACTACTGTATGTAACATACATGGTAAGATGGGTTCGCATAACTAACTATAACCCAACAAAAATAAAGAGATAAATAAAAACAACGACGCAAACGCGATGCAACAACACAACAAGCTCCGCGAATCTCACCCCACCCCCCTTTTTTTCTTTTTTTTTTTTTCTTTCAGGCCTCGCATTGTTTAGCCTTGCTTACCGGAGTGTTTACACACGACATACTTACATACATGCTACGCCCCATGACAGCGTGCAGAGAGCGGCAGCTTGAGACACGAGATCTCAGGTATATCTACCAACCTACCTAACCTACCAACTTAAAACATATAATCGGTATTACATACCTACCTACTTACCCACCGACTAGTAATTCAATTACCTAAGGTTAGTCACTGTCGAAAGATGACGCCAAATGTAGCCGGGCGGTAAACGAAACCGAGATGCAAAAAAAAAAGAGAGACCCCCCCCCCATATCGACCGACTGGTGACAGCAAAGCAGCGAGTAATCGTATAGTTACTATTATGTAGGTACCTACCTTAGGCATATAACCTGCCATAGTACCACCACCTTGGAAGGGATAATAGGGGAGGGGTCTTAACTCCGTCAGATGGGGCACTCTAGACCGTGCTAGATCTTGGTTTCTCCTCCCCTCCCCAATCGAAAAGGGGGTTGAAAGGGGGGTGGTGGTGGGGGGGGGGGGAGGTACCTAACCTAGATAAATTTCTCTCGTGCGAGACACAAGGCCGACCTGCCATTACCCACGACGCTGCGGGCTTACGTATTGGTGGAATCGGTAGGTGGGTGATGTAAGGTGAAATGTACATGTATGTATGTAGGGTATACCCATCTGTATTGCAACGCCGCCAGGGACGGTGGTATCTCGCCGAAAAAGCAGGCATTACCTGCTTTGGGTAGTATCGTGGATGGTTCCATAGTCCTTCCATCCACCACCACCACCACACCCGCCCGTCAGTAAACAACCACTACCATACCCTTCTTGGCTGTCGCCCCCACCAAAGCACTACCTACAGTACCGTCCTTTTGCCCCAGACCAGCAAAACGACCCAATAATACTTCCCATAATGAAAATTGTATTGAATGCAAAAATAGGTCACAAAGTTAGTAAGGGATTACATAGGTAATTAGACATGTAGGTACGATGTGTAAGTAGATCCGAAGGTACCTACCTACCTACCTAACCTCCCAGCTCGAGGCAAATGAGCAAAAAGAAAAAACAGCACACCCAAGTTACCCAGGTAAAAGCCCTACCTACCTCAACCACATATAGTACATACATAACATAAAATAGAAAAATAGGGTTGCACCGCGGGGACCCAGGGGACTGGTTGTTTAAACATCTCGACCTCCACCCCCCCCCCCCCCTTTTCCTTTTCCTTTCCCCAAATTTCTTCTTCTGTAGGCCTGAACTGCCACCACCACCAAACCCCAAAAAAGGCGGGATTTCGAGCCGGCGGAGCGGGCTGGCGCGCGCGTGTGGGGATGGAGAGAGAGAGAGAGAGAGAAAGCTGCGAATGCCTAACCGGGGAATCCGCTACGATACGACTCTTTGTTTTTGTTTATTTTCTCGCTGCGAATACTTGCTATACATAGTTACCGTAGTAGTACTCCATATCGCAGAACGTGGAGGTGAACTAAAGTATGTATTGTACAATACGTAGGTAGATAGGTAGGTACTAAGATAGGTAACACAGGTGAGGTAAGAAAGAGACATATAGGTACATTGTAGTATCGAAGCCCGTCATCCGCTACCCAGCTCTTCTTTACCGGATGATGAGCCAGCGTACCCGACCTCTCCACGGCTCAACCGAGAGCTCAACGTAACCTCAACAACTAAAGAAAAAAAAAACCTATACCAACAGACCCTTCACTCGACTCAGCTGAACTCATCAACAGCCTAGCGTTTTCCGTCTTCGTTACCTAGTAACCTATACCTATGACAAAGATCGGGATTTGACGAAAGCCTATTACTCTAACCTAGGCAATTACCTAGCTACCCGATACCTCAAAACCGCAAAAAGCCAGCCCCGATCCGCTCACAAACCGAACAAAAGCAAAAACCACCTAACCTACCTAACCTACCTGTACAAAACCCAAAAGGGCAAAGAAAAGGAAGCAGAAAACAAAAGGGGAGGCGGAAGTGTGGAAATGGTGGCTTAGAAGAAGGGCTTGCCTACCGCCCTGCTACACGTGTCTCGTGGCAGTTAGTTAGTTAGTTACTTCTAGAATTTTTCTCCTCGGGATTACTCTACATACCTATCTTACCTACATATGCTAGTGTAAGTATACATGCTTTTTTCTTCAAATATTCTTTTTTTTTTCGGCTGACATTCCGAGAACTTCGTTCTTCGTCGGCTTGTCTTTACTGTCGTCTTACACGCCAGAAAAAGAAAAAAAAGAGCCTAGACCCTGGATCCTAGAACCCCGTGTAACGTGAAGAAAAGACGATGGACGGCAGGCAGGAGAGCCGGTTCGTCGGTTCGTACATGTATCTATCTACTTGCTCATTCATATATCCAAGATTCCCAGTACATTAAGCAGGTCGGTATATACCTAGGTAGGCAAGGTAGGTAGACATGTAATGTAATGTAATGTAGTTCTCGGCAGGCAATATAAAACCCCCCAAAAAACAACAACAAAAAACCCAGGAAAACAGAGGCTAGACGTGTCTGTTCTAACCCACACCTACAAACCCAACCCCAACCCAACCCCCTCCGTCGGGGCTTTGGTTTGCTTGCTTACTTATTTACCTACATTACCGAACCTTCGCAGAGACAAAAAAAAATCCCCCGACCTATTCAGGAAGGCGGATGAACAAAAGGGGGGAGAGAGAATGAGTGGTTCGGTCGAAGCCGGTTTTCCCGTGAACACATGAACCTACCTACCTACCTATATTAGATAATGTTTGCTTAGAATACCTTATAGGCAGGCAAATAATGGACAGACAGACAGACAGACAGACAGACAAGAGGCCAGAAGGCGGAGCTGACGGGATGCTTTACCTATCCACCTGAGCCACCTGAAGGTCCTGAGCCACCTACCTAACCTAGTACAGTGTCTACCTAGTAGTACCTATCGTATAGGAAAAGCATACATCCATCCATCCATACAATACTCCTCGTGCGACCCGACTAGCTCCAACCCAACAACGACGACGACGACAACAACAAATCAAACAAATACGAGGGGTCCTCGGCATGCGCCGGCGAGTAAGCCAGCCAGCCAGCCAGCTACCTACGTAAACTCGCATGTTCTGTACTGTCATGTGCAAGTGCATATGTATCGTGTGACATACATCATGTACCTACCTACATGTAGGCTAAGCAAGTAGGTACCTGATGTAGATTGCCGGAGAACTTCGACTATCGATCCGTCGGAATAGGCTTTGCCTACCTACCTACCTAGGCAGGTGGGCAGGTAGGTAAGTAGGTAAGGGAGGAGCCAGCGGCTCTTTCCCATGCTGAGTAACGTTAACCTGGTCATACCCATCTCTGGTTCACCTCACATCATCACATCAGCACATCAACTATAGTAGGCATGTATCTCGTCGGCGCTAGATCCTGTGGATGCCGTGCGGTCTCGAGGTCAGGCCAGGTTAGGTTGGATTGGGTTAAGAACGAGAACAAGAACAAGAAGATAGGCAACCAAATAACGGCCCACGGCCTGTCAAGCGATGAGAGGGTATATTGTTAGCCTTTCTATACTGGCCAACAGGAATGACAATCGCTTCCCGTGTGTGACCTGCGCCCAGCTAGTTACCCTCCCGTAGAACCCGTAGAAATCCTACAATGCTGAAAGCCATTGGTGATGTACATAACGCCCTGTCTTCACTAGACCCGGATTCACTGCCTTCGTCGTCACGTCAAATCAACCAGGACTCCCGTTTCTCATCATTTCAAAGGCCCGACGAGAATACTCCGTAGCATCAGCCCATGCCTTCTGTGCCTCAAGACCCTGCCCCTGAACGTCGTAGCTCTGTGCAAGCATACCATCCGCCACGCTCATCCACAACGTGTTCCCACTCTTCTTCGCCTGGTTCGAGGCCGCTTTTGCGCTCTTGAGTGCCTGGTCACCTACGATGCTCTGGAAGAGCTTGGCCCGCATGAGGTTGAGTGCGATAGATAACGTTAGCACATTGCCTAGGAGTTGCGCGTTGGTGAGTGCCGTCGAGATGTGCATCTTGACCGCCGTCATAGGAATTGACGGATTAGTTTGTATTGCCGCCAGCACCAGGTTGTACGCTGTGCGGATCTCCATGTTAGTGTGATCTGTGCATAGCGGGCGGAGTTGCTCCAGGAGTTCTAGTGTCAGTCGGTCATCTCGATAATCCGGATGCTGCATGATCCATATTCGATTAAACGTCGCCAGTAACGACACCTCAAGCTCCGTTGCTTTGTGATTCCCACTTTTATCGCTGTTAGGATCCAGACTGAAGATCTCATTACGGAAGATCGAGCTGGCAGTTTTCAAGTCCCCAGTCCCTTGGTGGTATACTCCAGCAAGATATCTCGAGTATAGCACGACGATACCCTCGAGCGGGGGTCGAACCATACGCTCTAATTGCACAACACATTTCTTAACCTCAGACCATCTAGTATGCGTTGCAAAATGCAGCCCCTGAAGGATATAGAGATAGCACATCCACCCTCTGTGCCTATCCGCTCTCGAAATAGCATCTGGTAGAGAGTTTGGTACTCCTCGAAGTTTGATACCGGCTATGAGCAATGTTAGAACGTGTAATATACGATTGGGTTGAATTATTCACATTTTGATAACTGGCCTAGAGCCTCTTCCCAAAGTTTGAATATTCTCGTATCGTAGCGGGGAGTCTGGTGCATGAGCGCCAGGCCACTATAAGTGTATCTAGAGTGGCTGTCAGTACGAAACCCAAAACATGAGTAAATGGTGTCCCTTACGTTACAGTGTATGCCTCGATCTTGCTCCAAAACGACATGGCCAAATAGTCATGAGGGTCGTCGTCAGCCCCAGGTCTCAAAACGGCTGCCGTATCTTGGCTGATCACCATCGTGTTGCTCTTTCGGATTGGAAGCAGGAGTTCTGTGTCCACAGAATGCCATGACTTTTCAGCCATCGAAGAATCCATGCGGTCTTGGATATTTTTCAGTTTCTGCATGACTTCCAGTGTGGATTTCTGTTGTAAGCTGCAAGCGAGGTCAAGCATGAGTGCTAGAGCATCAAGTTGCGGAATCCGATTTGAGTCCTCAAGCTGATACTGGAACGTTTGCGCAATGCAAGCTTGTATACGAACTATAGCGTCATCCTTCAGATTCTTCAGTAGACTGAGGCCCTCTAGTAAACAAGCGACGACGAATATGGCACGTTCACCCCTTTGGTTTGCTAGATTGCCGATAGCCTTTAGATTCTCTAGGGCGTGTGTCTCTGCTGGATTACTAGACTGCAGATATATAGAAGTCTTCAGGAATCGAAAGGCGTACACCCAATGATGGTGTTTCATTCTAGAGCTCACGTTAGGAATAGAACGCGCTGTAGGGGTTGACTGAACTAAGTACGTACGCTTCAGCATCCCGTATCCGGCCATCTACTGCGATCATGGCCGCCTTGACTTTCTGTTGCGAAAATAGTAGTTTTATTTGAAGAAAGTGCATCATATACTTCAGGTCGGTAAATCGATTCTAGACTAGGAGTCAGCGTGTGGCCGAACGCACAGAGGGATATTGGGCATGGTAATAGTACTCTTTCACAAAGCGTGATGCCCTTGGTAAGAGCAGTTTCAGCCTCCATGACATTGTTCGTTTCTTCACATAGTATACTGGCATATCGAAATCGCACTCTGGCTTCCAACCGCGGAGCTAATTTGGTATTGTCTAACACCACTTGTAGGCAACGTAGTCCCGTCGCAATAAGTTTATGGTACTCGTGCAAGTTCTGGGGACAGGCATTATCCGACATATACGTAGACTCTTTTCGCGCCTTTGTAAAATACTCCTCGGCAAGACAAATCAGAAGGGAATTGGTATCCGCATGGTGCGGTACAAGTCCCGGTGTCGGAGCGGGCGATCTAACCGAACTTACACTCGGGCTTCTAGCAACACTATGGGTTGACAATCGAGGACTGGCAGATACGCGACTCGCATGATCCATTCGAGCCCCTGTGGCACTAGCATGTCTATTGTTCGGATTCGGGTTCGGCATGAACTGAGGTGCAAATTGGGGGGACTGGGCGGCGATGGGTGAATTAGTATGCTGTGGTATTGGCTGCGGGTGTTGCTGGTGCGGTTGTTGCTGGTGCGGTTGTTGCTGGTGCGGTTGTTGCTGGTGTGGGTGTTGAGGATGATGTTGGTGTTGATATGGATGTTGCGACTGCGGTGGTTGTTGAGAGATGACCTGGGGTGTCATATGCGACGGAGGGGTTTGGTACGAAGGCGACGGGGAGGACATGGCCATAGGTGGTGGCATTTGCTGCCATCCTGCCTGTTGCGCATACTGATGTTGCTGAGGCGACTGGAGAGGAGGCTGTTGCATGGGATGAACCATTTGTCGAGGCGCATTTGTTCCGTTCTGGGGTGAAGGTTGAATGGAAGGCCGCTGATCCATGGAGGGGTCGTAAGATTGGAATTGGTAGTTTATTTGTTGGTTCGGAACATTATGAGCATGTTGCATAGGATGCGGGTGTTGATGCTGATGCTGATGCTGTATTGGTTGCTGTTGAGGAGGAGGATAGGTGACAGATATGAAATTGTTTTGATGGTAAGCAGGTTGAGGTTGCTGAGGCTGTTGAAACTGCGGGTTGCCCCAGGCATCGTAACTATTGTTCACGTTCACGGCGTTCACAGCTTGGGGATACTGACTCTGACCATTGGACCCCGAGCCATGGCCATGTGGCGTCGAGCCGCGATATGTCATAATTTCATTGCACTGCGAATTCGCCTTTCCCAACCATCCCCTTATAGCCTTATAGATCAAGGACAGTAACCTGAGGTCGATTACTCTTTTTTGTATGTAGAAGGTGACGTCTGTTGCAGAGTTTAGGTTTAATGTTCAGTGTTGGTTGGAGACAGAAATCAGCTGAAGCGCGCGCCGCGACGTTGGTTGGTCCGTGAGTCCTTTCTCTTTCTCTCTTTCTTTTAAGATAAAGATAAAGTCACGTGAGTTGATTTGTCAAACACTTGCTGTTACTGTAAGTGCGACGGAACTACTTGTAACTTGAGGCTTAAAAGGTTAATCTACAAAGAACCACGGTTTTCATTTTATTACCTAGATACATAATATGTAACTACTGGGTGCATAAAAAACACCTTTTCAAATCAATTGATCTATCTAACTCGGTACGGGCCGAGGTAAGTGGGGATCCTGTTACAAGCGGCGAATTCCCCTGAATAGCATTGAACAGCTTGCAACTTTTATCGTAATAACGGGGCATCGTCGCTCATTTTTGTGATACCAACTTTATCGCCTCTCTTATATCCAGCGCCTTTTTCATTTTTATAGATATCTTTTCTCAAGTCAAGTGCATCAAATCTAAATATCTAGAGATATAGTCACTTTCGTTTTCATCTAAAGTCCTAAGACAATATAAAAATTAGAACTCATACCTACACAAAAACTAATTCTCATAATACACCGTTCACCAACGGCAAAGATGGAGTGGCTCGGACGAGCCATCATAGACTTCACAACCACGCCCAAGTCTCTCAATATAAAGAAGAAGGATGGTAAAGCGACAGACCTGCTCGAAATATGCAAGTCCGCCGTGCCGCCGTGCCAGCTGAACCCGCTGCTCTTCAACGGACACGCGCAGACCATGTGGACGGCCGCCAAGGCCCACGGCCCGCCGGTGCACTACAAGCGCAAGATCTTCGAGGCGGACCACGCCGAGTTCAACGGCAGCTATGCCGTGGACTTCGCCGTGACGGACCCTGCTGATGTGGAGAGGGAAGAGGAGGCAGACCCGTCCCTGCCGCCGCGGACGGTGAACTTCACCGAGGCGGAACTCGCGAAGATGGGCTCGGATGACTCTCGGCCTATGCTGGTTATTCTGCACGGCTTGTCGGGTGGCTCGCACGAAGTGTACCTCCGCTTTGCCATCGCTCCGCTCATCGAGAGCGGGAAGTGGGAGGCGTGTGTGGTCATCTCCAGGGGCTGCGCGCACAGCAAGATCACCACGGGGTTGCTCTACAACGCGCGTGCTACATGGGATGTTAGACAAGTAAGTCATCCAATGAATGATTTTATATAGTTATCCCCACTTCACCTTAGGCGGTGCTATGTACCAAGTGAAGAAATTAGACACCCTGATGCCTCAGGTTGCAAACGTGGCTCCCGCAAACCTCAACCTAGCCATAGCACCACCCTAGTGGTTGGGCGGCCTCCACAGCGAAGTTAAACTTATAGGTCCCCGGAAACCAATACCTTTCACTTCCTAGGTGAGAACCTAGATACCTGAGTTTTCAACCTATGTTGGCTCAGTGGTAAGGTGCGAAAACCACCAGGGCTCCCCGAAAAGTGCGGGTTCAGAACGAAAACCACTGTGGGACGCCCGAGGGTGCGGGTTCAATCCTACCACAAATCTTTTGCTTTTTTTCTTTTTTTTTCTTTTTTTTCTTTTTACCTACCTACACTTATAAAGTGAAGCCATTCATACTTAATGTCACCTATTCATTTGATTTTCCATTATTACATATCCTCTCCTACTAACTAACATCCGATATAGACCATCAAATGGCTTAAAAAGACATATCCCAACCGTCCATTGTTCGGCTTAGGCTTCTCACTAGGGGCTTGTATTCTCACAAACGTAAGCAACCCGCCAAAGCATCCACGTGGATCACCAACTCCCCTTTTTACGAAGATACTATATACTAAAATCCACGAATCAGTATCTCGGCGAGGAAGGTTCCGCCACTCCGCTCAAAGCCGCAGTCGTGGTCGCGAACCCATGGGCGCTTCACATCTCCTCCAAGATGCTGCAAAGTTCATTCATCGGCCATCACGTCTACCAGCGAGTTCTCGGCAGTAAGCCTCTCCCCTTCCCCTTTCCCCTTCCCCTTCACCTCCCCTAAACCAACTCTAACCCCCCCACCTCAGCATCCATGCGCGCCCTCGCCACGCGGCACAAAGCCGAGCTCGAACAGCACACCAACATCGACACCGCGCACCTCCTAAGCCGCAAATACCTGTACGAGTTCGACCGCGCGTACCAGTGCCCCACCTGGGGGTACCCGACCGAGGAAGCCTACTACCGGGACGCGTCGAGCTCCGACTCGCTGCTGGCGGTGCGGGTGCCGCTGCTGGCGCTGAACGCGGTCGACGACCCCATCGCGTCATGGCTCAGCCTGCCGTACGCCGAGGCCGCGACGAACCCGTACACGGTGCTGTGCACGACGTCGCTGGGCGGGCATCTGGGTTGGTTTGAGATTGGGGGGGGGCGGTGGCATGGGAAGCCTGTGAGTTGATTATTCCCTAGGTGTGAGTGAGCTGAGACCTTTTGCTAACACTGTTATGTTTTGGCAGGTATGTAACTTCCTCAACCACATGGCCTTCGAGGTCGATCTCGACAGCATCCACAACGAGGTCAACGGGAAGCGAACTTCCGGAAACCCCGAGAACGGGACGAATTTCGATCCCCTGCGACGAAAGATGCACGTGAACCTCAACCAATAAGATGGTTAGGTATGTCCCTAGGTATTCAGTACATGTGCTATATATACATGTATGTATAATGATAAGTAGACTTTATAGATATACAGAGATCGTAATCGGGTATCTAGATATAGAAAGGAGCCGGCGTTTCTAGCAAGAGGGCGGGCAAACGGCAAATCTCAAGTTCAATCAATGAAGCTATTCAAAAGGGGCGAATGAGCCTGTGCCTCAGGAGCTCCCATCGCCACTATTCAAACTCAATTTTATGCGCCAGTTGATAAACTCATCCGTGAGTATGTTTCCGTGACCGACTTCCTCCACTTTGAACACCTCAATGGTCCCTGAATGTGGTTTTCTCCTTATCCTCCAGACACCTTCATCGTTAATGGTACTTCTCAGCCCTAATTACAGATCAGCAAACTTGAAATCGGCAAGCACGTGGCACTTTGGTTCTTACATTCCAAGAAGGCACCAGAAAAGTTGATACACATGTTCGCATCCCAACTTCGAACACCCCGTTTGGCAGCCGTTTCGGGGATCTTGGCAGTCTGAATCTCTTCAAGCTTCGTGAGGATACCTTGCTGAGACCGAAAGCCAACGATGATCTTCGGCACACCGAGTAAAAAGGATTGGATCCAGAACTTCATGAGCTTGCGCTCGAAGTTCTGCATGCCCCTGTCGTCGCGGATCTCGGCACTGGTCTTGAGTTCAATCCAGTTGATCGGTGCTCCCTTTTGTGCCGGCTTAGAGTCCCAGACTAAATGATGTCAGCGTGAGCTCATAGTAGGTTCAGGGTTCAGGCATCGCGGTAAGCTTACTTGCGTCAACCTCACCCCCTAGACATAATGTCGTTTTGCCAATTCCGGTGCGGACCACTGAGCAGTACTGAGCTTTGTTGCTCACTATTTGCTTGTCCCTATTCTCGATGAAGTCTCTGGTGACCTCTGCCCAGGGGCGTGGCAAACAGCACAGCGTCTCGAATTTATAACCTATAATGAAATAAGCTTCGATGGCCAATGTGGGTGTGATTCATTGGATTTATCGTCTTTACCCCAATACGTCATAACCTCTGGCGGGAATTGGCCTCGTCGTCTTGTTTGTTTTGTTTGTTGACGCTCTTGTTCCTGTTTTGCCGCCAGTCCGTAGGCAAAATTTTCTTCGATGAAGCTTCCATCATAGTTAGATTAGTACGTTGAAAACTAATCGAGGATTCTCTGAAGCATACATGCAATCCTTAACCACACATATCAGCTAAAGCGGTAACGGAAAGGAGCATATGCGTGGCTCACTTGGTAAAGAGTAGCATTCATTTCGAAGCTAAGTTAATGTTGTGTTAGATTTTCACGGAGATATAATATGGGTAATTCTTTCACACACCCATCTCGATCCTCGAACGGAGCCGACATGATCTATGCATATTAGATTGAGATATGATCTTATAATCTATAGGGGCTTTTTTTAGTACCTTGGTCATCATGCCGCGCCAAGTGACGACCTGGGCATCAATCTTTTTACCCTCTTCCTGTTCATGGGCCATAATTGTCTTGAGAAGACTATCGATGTGCTCATCCTTCGAGTTATCATGCTTGTCGAATTGGTCAAACCCGTTAGATAGATCTACTCCGGTCTCAGGAGGATAGTACCATTGCATTGACCGATCGTCTAGATGAAACTCGTGTTTGTCGTCGTACGAGAAGAAAGCTATTTCCTACGAAGCATAAAGGTTAGACGTTAAGGTTGGTTAAGCCATAACAACAAAATAAGTAGATATCTAGGTTAGGTAGGTATATATAGGTACCTTGGGCCTCTTCACAGGCTCACTTTCACCGTTAAAACGGCCAATAGGCTGGATGTTGAAGGCGCCTGCCATACTGAGAAGAAAGCTATTTTGTGTTGTTCAACAAGTACTAGAAGAGCTCTGGGCGTCGATGATAAAGAAGGACCAAACGGTTGCGACCTTCATGTGAGTCGTAAGGGCCCAATGGTAAGACGTTTAATTGATATTGGAAAGGTAGAGTTCTATTGGTGAAGGTCTGGTAGAAGCGCTAAAAGACCTACCTACAGTCAGGTACATAACTTCAAAGTTAGCACCCATGTTATTTATACAGGGTTACCCCACAGCGGGCAAGAGCCGCTTTTCAACGGAACCTAATCCCGGTCGCTAGCTACAAATCTCCAAAGAACATCAACAATTAAATTTCAATCCATTAATACCACATGCATTAATGTGTTTACCTTTGTACTTTGTACATCAGGAATATCACCTGAAGTTGACACCAATATTATTATATGCCATTCAATATTCCATTTTCCTTTGCTTACTTGACACACTACAAGTAATAGCATAAGCCCCCTTTACCTCACCTCACCTTACCTTACCTTGCAATAACATGCCATCCATGGCCGACCGACCACCGCCGCACGTTCGCCCGGGCCCCAGCAAAACGACGCGCAACAACACGACGGGAGTGCGGCGCAACCTCTTCCAGAGCCAGCTCACGAAGCGACCGACCCCAACCTCCTCCTCCAACAACTCCGCCGAGACCCTGCGCCTTGCCGAAGTGGAAGTGCTGTCCGATACGTCTGAGATTGTGATCCGCGACAAGAATGGCGAGTTCGACATTGGCGATCCTCCGACCCCCACGCTAGACGACTCGGAAGAGGGCGTCGGGCTAGATGATGCGCAAGAGAGCGAACGTATGCATTCATGAAAATTTACTTGATTGAGGAGGGCCCCGGATGGGGGTGTCTCATAGTTGAAACGGAGTGTTTGTCTAATGATTTTTTTTCTAAACAGGCGAAAGGCAGAGACTAGCGGAAATAGTCAAGCACCACCAAATAAATCACAACCGGACCACTGCGCAGCCCGAAGGTAGGATTTAACCATGTCATATTACGAGTTATACTAACTTGAGGAAGAAGAGGTTATTGAAGCTCTCCGAGCCAGCATGAGAGCTAAGGTGGCAGCATTAGCCGAAGACAATTGGATGTACGAGCCCGAAGAACAGCAACGATCACAATGAGATTTGTTACGAACAGTCGTAGTCATAATTAATGTCGTCCGGAAAGGCCAATGCTATCTGCTACAAGGCCTAGCTAGAATCACGATATGACATGAACTCTTCAGTCCAACCCCTCCGCAGCCGGCATCGGTGAAGGCGCCTTTACAGCCGGCCTCCTTGCCCCTCCACTCGCCGAGCCACCACCGCCGCCGCCACCACCAAGGAAGCCACTCATCATGTCCATCAGAGGGTTGCTTTGTCGGGGTTTTTGGATGCCGAAATACATCTCGGCGATCATTTCCAAAGACTCGTGCCACGCGTCGACTTCTCCAATAAGTGCAGAGTATTTGTTGTGCAGCTGCTTGTACAAATCCGGACTGGCTCTTTGAACAGCGAGTAAAAGGAGGCCCAGGAAGTTGAGGAGGGGTATGCTGGGGTAAATTCGTATGTCGGCGCTGTTGCTGCTGACGTCTTGAATACCGAGCTGACTTTGCTTGTCCTGGTTTAAAGCGCTCGTAAATAGTCGATAACATGTGTTGGCGGCTCGGACGTTGCCAGTGAGAAGGTATGGCAGGATGCCTCGAGCAGCGTACAAGGCAGCCGTGTGTGCGTCATCCTCTTTGAACCACTCATACTCTAAGCGAGCCAGAACCTCAGCCGAGTCCTTGGTACCCAAAAGCAAGTGTCGTTCCGCATCGTATGGCTCGTGTTCTTCAGCGTACAGCGAGCCGGCAACATGGTGGAGCTCGGGATCGCCAGCGGGATATTCGCCGAACTTGGAGGACCATCTACATAGATAGTAATTAGTGGATAGTTTCAAACCAACTTAGCGATTGACGTAACGCGTAACATACGCTATCATCTCTCCAATGTACTTCTTGCGAGTAGGTTCCTCGCCGTCGAACAGGCGCAAACATGTTAACAGTTTGCCCTTGGTAGAAGAATCGGGCTTCAGCTCTGCCTGCTTATAAGTGTCGACCAGTAGCACACAAAGATCTCCGCCGCTGCCGCCTTGGCCTGCCTTTAGGAGGGATTGAGCGACATTGTAGAGGATGTCGATAGCGGCACTCCAGTTGGAGGCTTTGGTGTACCGCGCCGCTACGACGCGGGTTTGCTGTTGGGCTTCGTAGAACTGCCCCTCATTGATGCGTTGTTGCAACCGAGCGATGATTTTCTCGATCTTGTCGCCTTTGGTGCTCATCTTTAGATTATAACCTGAAATACAAGACTTATGTACAAACCGTTGTGAATACTAATATGCAGATAGGTCAACAATGCAAGCAGTGGGTGGGATTCATGTTATGTCAGGTAGCAGAGCAGGGCAGGTTAGGTATTGTACAGTAGCTTGAAAGTACAAAAATAGGTGGACATCAGAAATGACGAGTAAATTGATAGTTAAGTGGTCCAAGCTCTCAGATTAACCCCACGATTCGATTCCTCATCGTGGCTAAAGCATTTAAGCCACTCAATTAGAGACTCATCGAGCACTAAGACTTTGGAACATCTCTATAAGTGGTTTGCATAACTATCTACCTACGTAGTTTGCTATAGGGCAAACAGTGCTGAGAAAAAATAACCAAATACGTGTCTTTCAAGATATCTATTCAAATAATATAAAAAGGAAGAAGATTCTTGAGGAAAAAGGTCAAAAAGTGAATTTGGAGTGGTCTCCAATCGGTTGCACTAACCGTGAATCGAACACGGGGCCAAAGTAAGCAGTATTCCGCATGGGAAACTTTGAGGTTACCACTACCCCATTAGTGCCTTGTTAACAAAAGACGTTGACTTTTTGTTTTATATACCTCAGTCGAATTCCCTCAAACTTCCAAGCTACCTCTGAAGGCACCCAGCCATTGTAACTTGTAACATGGATTAGCCAACAACCTGGTCACAGCCATTGAGATGCACTGTCATTTATCAATTCATACATGTATCACTGTCTGGACACTACATACCTGGCTGCAGTTACATTTACCTAAGAGTGATTTTTCTTATATTGACCCAGGTAAAGTATTTGCATATACGCCGTATCTGTATCATGGTGCTCCAACATTTCGTTCCTGCGACTGGTGACTCACCTGACATCCAACTCCTTTCCGGCCTCATTTTTGCATATAAAATGGTAGGTATCACTTTTCTTTCTGGTCTTAGTAATTCACTGACATAATTTAAATGTATTAAATATTTCTTTCGTTCAAGTAAATAAATACGTTGATTGTTTGACTCTATTCTCCAAATGCCAGCTATGCGCCTAGCAATGGCAGTTCGCAGCGGTGCTGGTGCTGCAAATCGCGGACAACTCATTTTCCCTTGCAGACCAACCGGCACTCCGCATCCGCCCAAACCATCGTCCCATATCACCAACCTGAAATTCTCAACTTCTCGTTTCGGCCTCGCGGCGACGAATCCATCTACAAACAAGAAATCTCCCAAATCTCCCAACCAGCCCGAGGACCCCCCACCCTTGAGCTTCAGTTTTGATGGATTGGGCATGAGCCGGAACACCAAGCTTGCCGTGATTACGATCCTAAGCATATTCGGCACCATAGAGTCCTTCTTTTGGGCTAAGTGGATATGGCGTTGGTTTGCGGGACCCTCCAAAGACGAACCGGAAAATTCATCATGAAAAAGGAAAAAAAAAGAGTGTCATTGCCCTGCTTATTCTTCTCATTTCCAAAAATCTGGGTTACGGTTGACCTGAAATACGTCGCCTAGGTATGCAAATAGACCAAAGCAGCGCTATCTCCGCTCCAAGGGCAATCCATGGGATGAATAATGTTGTATTTAAATATAGATACCGGCGTTGTCGGGAGAGGGAATTCGCCACTTACATACCTAGGCCTATACATACCTCCCCAATTGAAATTAGCTTACACTCGCAAAGCACCTCATTTCAAGTTTCTTGGGCCTCAAATCCAGGCGTTGGCGTCGATAACTTGGTCACAAAGACCGCGCGTAAGGCGAGACGCCCTCGGAATTTGAAAGGCCAAACTGCAGGAATCAAAATAGTGCCAAACAACTTTTCCTACATCAATTGGCCTTGTTCGTGGTTGGGACTCAAGACAACTTTATTACCCAAGCTATGCACCTGACAAGTGAAAGGGCGTACAATACCTATCCAAGGAGATCTAGGCAAAATCTACGGACATGTGAGTGAGATTCGAGGCGAGTCCATCTTTAAAGAAAGAGAAAAGCCATTAATTAGTTAATACATGTCTCTCGAGAAACGGCTGTTTCTTAAAAGTTCCATATCAGCCGCTGCCTGCTGTCACACTCAGCTGGTTGCAATCCCACCTAACACCAACTATCTGGGGCCTCACTGCACCCTTTTTTTAAAGGATCTTTGAAACTGACTAGGGGGTAAACTTGAACATACTAGCGTTTGGCTGTAGGCGAGGCCAGTTATACCAAGTTTTCTTTTGTTTTTTTTAATTCCCCTGGTCCCTTGAAGCCTGTATAATAGTAATAGTATAGTTAGGCTTACCTGTCAAGTTATGTATAACTACTTTTCATCTCGTATAATCAACCGAACACTTCGCTGATACCTAAACGGAAAAAATACATGTTCACCATTTCCAAGGCAAGTAGTTACGTAGCATTTCACTCTTGTCCCTCTTCTACAGGCGATCATCTCCGGCTCCTCCAAAAGGTGTGTACGGCATAACTAATAGTAATGTAATGTAATGTACACGCGTGCACCGCCACTTGTTCCCCGACGGTCTCGACCTTTCTTCGAACCACCCTTGGCGCAATTCTCGATTCGGGGTCGACTTCTATCTCGATTGGCTGGTTCCTGGCATCATCCCTGTCGCCTCTGCCCTGTTTTCGGGAGTGCTACGAAAGAAAAGGGTTTTAGCCACATGAGGGTCAAGCCACCCCAGGTCCCTTAAAACGGGGGAATATAATTAAAAACAAGTTCCTCTCCCGGGGGGTTTTTAGGGTGGGCGGGAGAGAGAGAGAGAAAGAGAAGAAAGAAGAAAGAAGCATGAACGATGACATGAAAAAGTAATTTTGTTTATTTTTATTTTTTTGTTAATATACAGGGTTGTGACTTTGTTCATGCGTTCTCCGTTACTTGTCGTTTCCTTCTCTCGTTACCTCAGACCGATGCTGTGTTGCTTCCCGAGGTGATACCCGCGTGCTGGATGATCACTTGTGCTTGCGAAAAGATAGAGATGGCTGCTGAGGTTGAAGAGGTTGTTCCCGCTGGCGGTGCTCATGAGATCAAGCCATATAAAATACATGTGAGCTACTTGTCGATCCCTTGGACCCTTACTTGGCTTAGCTAGGAAGTACGTATACCTATGTGACTAACACAACGATCCTCTTATGTTAGGTCTCTTCGAAATATCTAGATCTTACCAAACAGAAGCTTGAGGTTACTAGATTGCCTCATGAGCTCTCAGAACCAAAGTCTAAAGATTGGTGGGAGCCAAAGTCTCGGGTAGAGGTACTCATTGACTATTGGTAAGTTATTTGGGATTTGTATTGCCCCAGGCTTTACTTCGTTTATACTTTCTCGGTCCACCATCGTGATATTTTACCGTAGATATGATCAGAGGCTAAACCTTGAACAGGCTTGAACAGCATTCGTGGCGGACACAAGAGACTTTTCTAAACGCTGAGCTACCTCAGTTCCGCACCGGATTCACCGTACCTTCTTCGGAGGCAACAGTTAGAATTCACTTTATCCACGCTCGCTCATCTCATGCCAATGCGGTACCCCTTCTTTTGATACCACCTTTTCCTTTCTCCAATCTTTCTTTTGGGAATCTCATCAAATTATTTACCGAGCCTGAGGATGCAGCAAATAACCAGCCGTTTCATCTAATAATACCGTCCCTGCCGGGACTGGGATTTAGCGATGCGCTTCCGAATAATACCCCGGTGATCTCATCTACTGCGGATATTCTGAACTCGTTAATGAGTCGCCTCGAGTATCCTCATTATCTAGTAACGAATGCAAGTTCAGGAGCTGCTTCACCTGCAGAAATCGACTTTAAGCTGGTTCATTATCTGGTATCCTGCTATCCGAACCATTGCCTAGGCGCCCACTTGATTTCACCCCCGATATCGAGTCCGGAGCTTCGGGAAGCGCCAATAGAGTGGGCAATATGGTCACTTGCTAATTTGTTCCATGTCCCTATGCTAGGCTATCGATCCGAGGATTTTTCAGCACTGGAACGAAATGGCTATGTTCATACCTCGAGTAGGGAGCCAACTGCGACCCCAATTGGGTTAAATCAACTAGGCTTTCGGGAGCCCAACACCCTAGCTTATGCATTATGCGACTCCCCGACGGGCTTGCTGGTTCTTATTCTGAAAATTCTCAGTCTCCTTAGCCCCAAAAAGCAGTTTTCGTCGGCGGAGGTGATCCAATTTTCCCAGCTTGCTTGGCTCCCTGGTCCGGAATCGGCTATGAGATTTTGGGCAAATTGTGTGCGACATCCAGAGACCGCACCGAGAAGGTCTAGCTTTAGACCGAGGGTCGGACTTACGGTATTTCTCGGTGATGAGCCGAGTGCGGATGAAAATGCAGGGGCGGAAGCGGAGGCGGAGGCAGGCCATCTAATACAAGAAGATGTAAAAGACGGTTATGCATGTCCTAGATGGGCCAAGGCCAAGTACAGAGTGGTCTACGTCAACCGTGCTCCGGGAACTTCGGGACTTTTAGCGTGGGAACGGCCTGAGCTCATCGCTGCGGGTATAAGAGCCGTTGCAACGTCCATCTTAAAATGGGACTCCCGACTACGACCGAAGCCGAAAGCTCAGGTGACCGTGGTGCCCCTCGAGCAAGTGATAATCCAAAGCGATATAAGTAGAACAATCCAACCGCTGTCACCACCAACAAAGCCAGATCCGACACTACTCACACTGCCCACTATAGACGAGCGAGGTCATCCCCACCGCGAAATTAGTGACGAGACGGCAGTGGCGAGTGATGAAAATGTTGGTGGGAAAGCATCCCCCCAGACACCCAGTCCGGTGCATCTTTCTCCGCTCAGTGATGAGTGAGCGCATCTATGGTGAGAGGCAAGTGATGACATGGCTGTGGAGCTGTCAGACAACGAGGGGATGTACACTCACCAATCAGCGATCTGATGGCGATTCTGAATTCAAAGCTATAGGTTATGTCCACGACATGATACAACCTGGCAGTGGCTGCAAAGCCTACTGGATCAAGAAGGAGGGAGAGCGATTGATGACTTAGTATATACCTACCTAGGTACTTACTTCCTTGGCGATTTTCTTAAATGTTTTATGATACCTCGTCAATGAGAATGAGAGATGATAGAAAGGGTTCGAGTTAGGTTATATTGGTTGAAAGGGACTTCGGATAGATGTGTATAAGTGCATATAGTAGCATTGTGATTTATCAATTGATACGAAAATAAAGGGGGCGATCCTCAGTGCTGTATGTAATAAAAGGGAACATTTTTATGTATTATGTACAAGTTGTACCTAGTACAAAAATGAACAAGGTTATCTCGATAAGAAAGACGATAAGCGACAAGCAAAGCAACATTAAGCAACAACGCCTTATCTGAATTAATGAACCTGTTTGAAGTTAACAGCGAATGATACTTTGCTGAACCTTGAAGTAGCAAGGCGAAGATCTAGAACTTCAATGTTGCCTACACACTAATTGTTTACTTACTCACATACTAAGGTACCTACTAGGTAGTAGTACCTTCCCACAGTAGTACTACAAGCATATCCATCACTGAAACATCAAACTCAGTGCTGGGTAACACAACTCAAGTTACAACACTGAACACTGAACTCTACTAGGTTAGGTACTGGGTATCCATCACTGCATCGGCATTTACTACATAGGTACATCCAATACATACCTTCAGGAACCCGGAACTTACAACTTACAACTTACAACTTACATATGTACCTACATACAACTTACAAGCACACGTACACGTATACACGCATACACGCATACAGTATTCTCACACACGACCATCATTTTCTCAATTCCCCGGTCCATCACGCTCGTTCAATGTAGATATGTTATGACTTCATCGTCATGGGTGCCAGCGACTCCAAGCTAGTCTTCAAGAAGGGCATCTTTAGGTTGTCAGAGGAGCGACACATACCTGCCGATGACCCCTATTGGACATCTGTTAGTACTACCCATATCATCTTTTCCTTGGTCTATTCCTTGTTCCCGTTGATCTAGTACGACTACTACTAGTAGTAGGTTATGTATATGCAAATCTAATCATAATATGGATCATTATATAGTTTTGGGAACTACCCGAGTCCACAGAAGACATATTCAGCCTCTTTGCGCCTGCCGATATCCGTCGAACACGCGACAGAGCCATTGAGAACCTAGAAACCCTCGTCCTCGCCGTAACTTCTCGCTTATTTATATTGCGACATCATCCCTCATTCCCCGATCCCGAGTTCGCACCAGAGCGCGATGCCCTGAACTGCATTCGCATCCTCACCCGCGTCCTCCCCTACCTATATGAAGTAGATCACTTGCAGGGATGGGAGAGCAAGTTCTTTTGGGGCACCAGGAGAAAGCGCACGAGGCGCTCTACCATCGCAAATGAAATACTTTTCGATGAAGGTCAAGAGGATGTAAAACCACCCACCGACGAATTTGAAGATGCAAAGCCCTTGGCCGAGGAGCTCATCGACACTCTCGTTGACTTATTATTCTTCTCCGACTTGACCGTCCCGAAGCAGCCTCATGGGAAACCCAAGGTTACTTATGCCATCTGGCAGAGCGGCGTGGGCTGTAATACTGCCGTGCCTACGACGAAGGAGTATGAAAACAACCGCTGCGAGATACTGCGCCTACTCCTGACTCTGGCCAGTCAGAGCATGTACACGTCCCCCAACATACTACCGACGAAAGGCACCCGGGCTTTAACATATCTATGCACTTGCCCGGATAAACAGGTGGTTTTATCGGTGCTGTGCTCTTTGCTGAACACCGTAAGTTCATACCAGCTACCACGAGATCTAAACTTCTATAATGCAGTCGCTAATACTAGCAGACCCTCAAATACAACCCGGCCAGCTGGCGTGTCCCCTACAATACATTAATGTTTAAGGATCCCAAGGAGATTCTCATTACCTATACGCTACAGTTTTTACTCATAGTCCTCCTTTACCCTATACCCGAGCCTGCTACGGGCTCTGCCCCGAAGAACTTCTACCGCCATTTCCTGGGAAGGTTACATCGTCCCCAAGATTTCCAATTCATTGTCGATGGTATGACACGAATACTCTACCAGCCTATTCAAGCCAATATCTCGTATATCCCTGGAACCCAAGCTACGGCTAGATTCTCCCCCGAGATCATCATGCTGTTCTGGGAGGTCACTCAGTGCAACAAACGGTTTAGATCTTTCATGATTGACACGCAACGAGCGCACGATTTTCTCATTCTCGTCCTTTTCTATGCTACCGAATACAAAGCAGATGCCTCGAAGCAAGGCGTGGTGCGGATGTGTGCCTTCTTGCTACAGACGTTGAGCGTGGAGAAGAACTTTGGCATCAATCTTAATAAACACTTTGAAGGACAGGATACCTTACCACCCGTGATTCGGATACCAGGATTCAAAGGCACCTACGCTGATTTCTTGGTCCAGGTAAGTTGATCTGCACAAACCCATTTATAAGACAATTGGCTAACTATGATCAAGTCTATTTACAACCTCATCACCAGAAGCCAGGGGAAGCTTTCTGCCATCTATCCGGCCTTACTGGCTGTGATCAACAATATATCTGCCTACTTGGAGGGCATTAACGGCACTACAGGTTCAAAGCTACTACAGCTGTATAATTCCATGTCGTCTCCTTCCTTCCTTCTCGCCAATGACACCAACCACGATCTTCTAAGTTCCCTCTTAGAATCCATAAACGCCATCATTGAACATCAATACAAGAGTAAGTCGTGATCTATCTAACCTCCAACATTGGTCTATACTAACAGTAAACTAGAAAATGCTCACTTTATCTACTTGATATTGAAGAACAGAAAAAAGTTTGAAGCTCTACGCACTTTTACGCTGGAAAGTGGCCAGGAGGAAATTGAACGACGGAATCGTCGGAGAAAGGAATCGGGACAACCCATAGACCCGTTCGACATAGGATCCAGGCGAAGTTCTGTGGAAAGTTTACGTAGCCCTACTACGACGCAACCCAGGACACCCACCCTGAGCAACGTACCAGAGGAGGACACTACATTCGCGATTGGCGATGCTGAGGATGAGAGTGACGAGGATGAGGATGACCGGCCCACACCTGCGCAGTCGACACCCAGCGAGAACCCTTCTCAGGCATCTTCGGTCGCTGACGTAGAAGATGCGGTGCCGACGCAACTGAGAGGCATGTCTGAGAAAGCTAGAGGCAAAATGCCTGCTGGGGTTCCTACCTTTTCTAGGCAAAATAGTACTACGAGCCTGGGTAGTTATTCGGCAGGTGGACAGTCAGTCCCCGGTGCATTCGAGCCCTCGGCGCATTGGATCGAGAGCTGGCTTCCGGAACTTCCCCTCCACACGATTCTGACAGTTATACAGCAACTGACAGCTTTGATCACTCGCCAGGGGCTGACCGCTGATGTGCCATCATCAGCGACACTGCAGGCCATCCAAGAGGCGGACTTGGTAGGTGTAGAGCCATCTCCCGTCAGAGTCCATTCCTTCGAATGGTCGCCCCTCGCGCTAGGGTGGTACGAGTCGTTGGTCTGGAGCTTTGTGTTCACGGGCGAAATGCAAGTCGCCAAGGGCACCGTCGGGGTATGGAACGGGACGGCGATCAAGTTATTCAAAGTTCAAGAAACGGCGGCTCAAGGCCCCACACTTACGTCTCCCCGAGGCGCGGTGGACGCCGTCGGTAGCAATATCGTATCGAGAATCGGATCCATCAACCTACGAGGAAATGCGCCTCCATCACCGGCCTCGCCTGGACTGCCGCCGCAGCGTAATACTTAGTAGCAATGCGGGGTTTGATCGATCGGGACGATTAGGAACCTTAGGCTAGGTAGTCAGATAAATCAATGTAATGTGCGAACGTGCGTCCTACAGAGAAGTAAAGGCTTCATCGTGTTTCCTAGGCAATGTTGGGGGTGTAGGTAACTCGTCTGGCAAGGGGTGGGAAGGCATGGGAAGGCAAAGGAAATTCGATGCATAGTTAGCCTGTCTAGTACGTATATAGTACTAAGCGATTTTATTGAACATCATGAAGCTACATATATATGGCGGGATTACCTTTTAATGAAGGGGAACGATGTTTGGTACGGGATTGGCATTCTTCATAGAAGTTGATAGAACAACTGCCAGCAGCTGCGCGGATAGATCCACTTTCCACCCTAGCACGTGCCTTAAAAATTGCCTAAAATTTTATTTTCATCTTTCACTCTCTTTACTTAATTCACCTTTCTTACTGCAACGCAGAAAGAACCATTCCCATCAGGATTAATTAAGATAGGCAACCTGCCATCCATCCTTACGCCAACTACTCAAGCTGTATCGTGCACGTTGTTCAAACTCGCGTACATACATGTATGCCATATTCATATTGTATGGTATATATGGACAGCCGCATTAGGGTTCCCACGCAGAAAGACGCCTTTGATGGTGATGGTGGGATGTGGTTGGTAGGTAGGTAGGTAAAGCTGATGTAGGTATGTCGCTTGCAGAAGAGAAGAGAAGAGCAGAGCAGAGCAGAGCAGAGCAGTATCCTATCCGGATCTCACGAACCTTGCCCCTTCCTCCCTCCCTCCCCTTGCCTTGCCTTGCCTTGCCTTGCCTTTCTCCATTCCATCCATACATCTACCACACCCGCACCCGCACCCGCACCCGCACCCGCTTCTACAAATGCTAGAGCTTGCCGCTCAGACATATATATATATATATATATATATATATATACAACAGCGCGCAAGTGTGGACAATGAAGCAATATTGAAAGAAACCCAGCAGCCTCGTTTTGTGCTCTTGCCATCTTGGTGGTGAGGGTCGCGGCGTTGCTTCCGCAAGTAACCTGTTTTGTGCTGCCGCCCCGTGTTCGAGATGGGGTGGGGGCTTGGTGCTTGGTGGAGATATTTGATTTGATTCGGTGCATGTCTGTCTAAGGTTAGGTGGCTATGTAGGGAGATGGGAGGACGGGAAGGGAGGGTGGGTTTAAGGGGGATGTCGGCAAGGTCATGTCATGTCATGTCACGGATGCTATATCGAACAACAGATATTTAGACTAGCATTCGTTTGAAAATGAAATTGTATCATTTTTTCATACGTCTAATACTACCTACATATCTATAGGTATAGACCTACATCTGACTGACTCCTTTTTTGCCTCTACATTTTGCTACCAGGTGGTGGTCTGATGATGATGATTAGCATCGGGAGTGGTCCAGGCTGGCAGTGACTACCTACCTACTCACTCACTCACTCACTCACTCACTTGAAGTTGTTCTTCATGGTTCGCAGCTGAGCCATCACCTCCACGGGTTCCGTCTTGCCAGTAGCCTTTTGGATCTCGGGGTCCTTGAGAGAAAAAAAGAAAAAAAAAGCGTTAGTTTGCCATACTACACATTACATACATATATACTTCTTCTAGGTTAGGGGTAGCCAAGACAACTTACCTCTACTCGCATGAACACGTTGTGCAACTTTTTATCGTACGAAAAAAAAAACCGTTAGCTCTCTCATCCCTTTTTTGTTTTGTTTTTTTCGTGAAATGGTTTTAACACATCATCATCATCTCATGTTGTAGGTAGGTAGGCAGGGAAGGTTGGTCAGGTTACCTTCTCGTCTCCAATGGTGAACTTCCCCTGCGTCTCCCTGTTGTTCTCCGCGAAGGCCTGCAGCTTCTTGACGGCTTCGCTCTGCAGGACCGAGACGCCGAACTTGACGTTGGCTTTGGTGTATTCGTGGCCGGGCTGTGTGTGTGTGTGTGCATGTGTGAGAATTTAGTCGAGACGGAATAAGTTGCAGGGTTGGCGTTGGAGGTAGTGAAGTGGGTGTACTTACGTAGACCTTGGTATCGTCCGGGAGGGAGGCCAGCGTCTTGTTCAGCGCCGTGTGCATCTCCTCCGCCGAGCCCTCGAAGAACCTTCCACAGCCTTGACCCCAAACATTAGTCGAACTCTTACTCTTACTCTTTCTTTCTCTCTCATCCCCAATATATCCCCTCAACCGGGAGTAAGGGGGGAATGAATAGGTACTTACCGCCATGGAACAGCGTATCCCCCGTAAACACAGCCTTGTCCTCGCCGTCCTGCACGAACCAGCAGATGCTGTCCTGCGTGTGGCACGGCGTGTAGAGGCCCTTGACGGCGAGGCCGCCGACGCGGAACCCCTCGCCGTTCGCGGGCGTCTGCGTCGCGCTCTGGCAGTCCTTGCCCCCGATGATGGGGAGGGTTGGCGTGCCTAGGTCGGTGCGCTATTTCGGGGAAAACTTAAAGTTGGTACCAAAAAAAAAAAAGGGGGGGGGGGGGGGGTGGGTAAGTAAGTAAACTCACGAGCTGATCATTACCACCCGCATGGTCCCAATGGCTGCAAGCAGTAACATCAGCATATCATGCTTATCATTTCTACGTACCCGTCACACCGAGTAAAAAGAGCATCGTGCTTACTGGTGCGTATTCACGATAGCCGTGAGGTTGATCTTGCCATCTTTAATAGCCTGCTTCAGGACAGGCGTGACCCTATACGTGGGTGCAATTGACAATGGTCAGTCACTGAGCCAAGAGTCGTGTAGGTGGGTAGAGAGATACACGTGATAAAAAGATAGGTAGATAGATAGATAGATAGATAGATAGACAAACTCACTCCTCGGGATGCGCGGGGTCAATGATGACGGCGTCTTTCGTCTTGTCGTCGACGAGCAGGTAGGCGTAGTTGTCGCTTGTGCCCGTCCCTATAAATCAATTCAGTAGATCAGTATACGCTCTCAGCTTAGCCAAATACCAGGCAGGCAGGGTATACACCCCCTTTTATATTTCAGGACAGATAGCATGAGAGTAAACCTACACATGGGAATTGATTGGATATGCATTGCGCGAGAGAAGGCGGGCTAGATATGTAGGTAAATAATGGAGTTTAGCGAGGAACCTTGATGAGGTATATCTATCTTCTCTACACTATCTCTCCTCTTTCTCACTGTTCCTGTGTCTTATTTCAAAACTTACAGCCGTTGTAAAAGCACCGATTCTGTTTCGAGTAGTAGCTACTACCAATGGCCTTGCTCGTGTGACAAAGCTCGTGCGATACATAAATAATATAAGCAGGTGGGTGCTATATTGTCAAAGAACGTGAGTAAAACCAGACCAGTCAAAGGAGTTGGAATATTAATCAGCCAAATGGGATTCGTGATATTGTATGTATGTAACGATCTCCAACGATTGTCGCTGGTGTCGCTGGTGTCGCTTACAAACCTTACAAACCTTGAAAACGCCGTAGAATATTCCATGACGTCGGTTTGCTTGCCTAAACGGCCCGGCAGAAGTACCGAATGTCTGAGGTGCCAGCTGCCAGTATAGGTCTAAGTATAGGTCTAGGTTACCTAGGTACCTAGGTAGGTATGGCCTCATATCTGCGCAGCCTATCACGTTGCTTGAATTTGTCATATGGAAGATATACCTTTAACCTTGACAATTCAACTTTATATACGGCCAAAGGTGTATTTGAGTATATTGGTATTATAAGTAGGTACCATAGGATGACGCTACATAGCACATAGCTGGGTAACATGCAACTATATAACTCCAATCGGCTTGGGTTTCCACGGACCTTCATACCTGGACCACCCCTTTACTTGACTCGGCTGCTCTCGACTTGGCTTCTCCGTGACTTCACGCGAGGGGCCGGTGACATCCATAGCGTCGAGCTCAGCATCCAACACCCTCACATCAGCTCTAGCAGCGTCTAGACTCTTCAGTGCGGGTGCGGCGGCATCTGTGTCACTTCCCATGACTAACGAGGCCGATAAATTACCATCCAGTATCGCCTCAGATAACCGCAGGGATCCGGATATGAGTTTAAGGTCCTCGGATGAATCTCCGATTTCTGCTAGATTTTGCAGCAGCGTGGCCTCATCCCACTGCTTCAGCTGCTTGTACAACCCCTTGGCCTCTGCGGTCGACTCTTCGCCTAGATACCGCAGCAATAGAGCTTGGCAGGGGTTTGGTGCATCGCTATTAGCGCCGGGGATGTCCTCGCCTGGGAGGTTCTTCCAGTAGAAATCCCATATCCACGCGAGCGCCTTCTTAGCCGCGGTCCTGAGCTTGGACAGCGAGGGCAGCTGTTCGTGCGTGGCCTGGTGCCGCAGCTCCACAAATGTCGCTGGCAAACCGATAGTTTTGGCTATCGAGTACATGCTCACCTTACGCTGTTTGTCCTGCTGGCTATCCAGAAGCCCGGTCACAAAACTATAATTATAGATTTCACTTGTTAGCTGAATAGTCCCAATCCTTCGGTAATATGGTATAAGCTTGGGAGCCAATGGCTTGGACCCTTTTTGCATTGTCCGGGGCCGTTGGCTCTAAGCGCTGGCCTCATTAGTCGCCAATGGAATGGTGCGAGCTAATAGGTAATCCATTTCGCCATAATGCCACGTGAGGCTAGCACCAGCCTAGGCCAACCATGCCAGAATCTCCGGTCTCTCCGAACAGCTACATATGTAGGTACGCGAGAGAGAGAGGCATCCAATGTCATCCATAGTAAGTGAATCTCCACCAACGAGGCTGAAATGGGATCAAGGATTATGGTGGGGTCCATAACGAGATGAGTAGCGAGAATAGGGATAGTCTGCCGGGGCTGCGGGAAAGCGAATGAGTAGCGCTGATAATAGATGTACATACCGACTAAAGGCAGCCGAGTAAGCTGCCCTAATAGCATACGAAGAAGAGTTGGCCCTAGTCCTCGTCTCATGGATGTCGCTGAGGATAGCGGCCATCAGGAGAGCTGTTGACTCGATCAAGTGGGGACAGCCGCCGCGCTGCATCCACATCGAGACACGCGACACGGCATGTTGCTTTGCGGCCTCCTCTTTGACTTTTATCTCATCGTCGTCCTCGTCCTCATCCTCGTCATCTTGGTTGTCCTGGAGATCGACTAAGCTGCCTGATGTGGCTGTGGCGGTGGTTGACGGCGAAGGGTAAAATTGCCGACGAACTTTTAATAACTCCCTACGATCTCTCCAAGGTGTATGAATATACTGAACCATAACTGAGGGCAGCGGGGTGATAGTTCAGAATGACTCAAATAGTTTACTGTATGATGAGATGTTGAAAATATTGGCGGTGAGATGATACGATTGGCGTTCGTGATAATTTGATTGGTGGTGCTAAATCGGAGTCAGGATGAAATAAAAATCCAGGTTTTTGTTGTTCAATTGAAGATATTAGATCCCACTTAGTTGGCCTCATTAGTTTAGCAACTTTAGCAACTTCAGCTACCTAGGGGTACCTAACGTTATACACTAACACCACTAACTTGACTACTATTGTGCTAGCCACGGATACTAAAGTGAAGCCTCCCTTAGTGTTACATAGTAGATAATCATATTGGCACGATTACTCACCAACTATGTATGTATGTACTTATTTGAAATGATTCTTGTAAGTTTAGCAGTAATATTTACCTGACACGTCGTAACTATTCATAACATCACGGACATGAATTTGGGTGCAAAGAAATTGAGAGTCAATAATCCTCAAGAATCCCGAAGGTAATTAAGAATGTCTTCAAGGGTTGTAATTGGATGGCTTTAGGTACATGGTAGATACTTAGTGGTAAATAATCTTTCGATATCGTGAAGTTTAATCTTTGGGAAGTGATATGTGTTATAACCGGAGGGGTAACGTACTACTAAGTAGTATGCGGGGTTCCATGTTCTCTTCATCTCATGTTATCGATAACCGCTGATAGCCCACCATGTATACGAGTGCTATAAGCCTCTAACCTACTACTATTTGGTATGCACCTACGCCGATAGCTCGCTTCAACATTACATACTACTAGTAGTATGAAGCTAAAGTCTTCAGCTCTTTGAACATGAGGTACATGATTATACGTATGGCTAAAGAGACATCTGGAGCTGCACACCGGTCACGGAACCATGGAGGAAAGGGAACGTGAGGGAAACTTGTTTTGCTTAATATATAACGCAAGCACTATATATGAATAGGTAGGTAGTCGTGATTTCGGTGCATGGGATAGAAGAGTCTCGGCTTTACTACGTATGCCTACTAGGTATGTAGGCATGTAGGCATGTAGGCATGTAGGCATGTAGGCATGCACATTACATTACACTAGGTTAACGGCTTTGCCAAGATGGTATGTAGGACCTAGGTAAGGTAGGGTCCTTGTGTAAAAATAAGTTAGGCCGCCTCTTTTGCAAATGTGCGCCTTGACACATGATCTGCAAATAAATGAAAACGAACTATCAAAGGGCAAAGAAGAGCAAAGGCCGAAACGAAATAGCCTGCTTGTGACTTATCTAGGTTAGGTTCCTACATGTAAGGCATTTGGCACCAGTGGTGTAGTGTGTACAGCTCGGGGAACTAGGAAGGGGAGCGGAGGGAAGGGAAGGGAGCGATGGAGAATGGGAGAAGAGATTTATTTATTGGGAGGGCTTTGATGCACCCGGATTGTCCGTGATGTCGTATTAAGCACATGATGAATATGTAACAAAAAGAAGGAGAAGATTGTCCATATTGACTATGGCTATGTAGGTCCATAGTAGTTAGTTAATGTGGACTTTTGTGTAGTTAATATGGGAAATCCCGTCTAACTTTTTTGCACCAGACGGTTTCGTCTTACCTACAAGGAGTTAGCACTTCGTTTAATTTTTGAGGCCCCTAACATTAGTTAGCTTGCTATATTCAACGTTGCTAGCAAAAGCTGGAATTTTGGATTTTATTAGGTTAGTTAAGCTGGTTAGGGAAGCCTTTAATAATAATAATAATAAAGTGTGTGTGGCCCAGCACACGCTGCTCTGCTGCTGCGGTCTTGGGACCCATCGTTGCCAATGATTCTAGCCCATCCATCCACTCGCATATTACCCAAGTACCTACTTTGGCCAACGAAAGATTCCACAACTTCCCAAACGTGCATGGAAGCAACAACGACCTTTTTATTCTTTTTCCTTTTGGGCTTAGGTTAGAAGCGGACATGTGACGCAACCATGGGCTGCATGGCAGCCAGATCCACTGCTCCGTTATAGCCCCACATGGATCTTCTAAGTTGGGGATCTCTGCGTGTTGGAGTGGGGAAGAGCCCACAATGGGACGTCTCGGGCCAAGGGCGTGGGTACGCGCTAGACAGGGGTTAGACGGTAGGTAAGGATGTGTGTACACTAGTGTAGGTAGGTACTAGGTACATATGTAATGTACCTAGTAGGTATGTACATATGTACATAGGCATGTACCTACACACTGCATTCTGCATGTGTGTGCATGGATGTCAGTGGGGTTTTTTTTATATTTTTCCCTTTTTCTTTTCTTTCTTTCTCTTCTCCCACTCCCACCTCACTCAATAAATACTCCTTGACGCAGAGCCCCAAATAGAACGTTGGAGATCCCTGTTTAGCCTGCCCGGTCTGAGCTTTGCCCCCTGCATATCGAACCAAACGTAAATTGGGCTAGCCTATCAGAAAACTGCCCTACTGCTTTTGCTTTAAAGATTGATCGTTTAAAGGTACTTGGGTACATACAATTCAATTCAATTCAATTCAATATCGCGGATGACCCCTCGATAGGGTTGATTTACTATAACTAGTACTATGTAGTACGTACATACATACATAGTAGATACATATGATAGTAGTTATACCTGACAACGCTAGTAATATATGGATTTTTATAGTAAGAAGAGACAAGAGTCAAAGCCCCCTTCTTCACGTATGTACAGTATCTATGTATCGTATATATGTAATGCAGACAGGCATCGGGTCTATAGCGTATCCCTAGAGTTTTGAACAAGTCAAGGTGAGATAAAAATTTAAACCAAAAAAAATAACACGACACATCACGATCGGCACACGTATTCACAGCTTAGGCTTGCAGTTTCGGAACGAATTTTTTTGGCTCGGAAGAAGTTATTTTCTTGATTTTTTTTAGAGTGGATCGAGGCTCCGCGCTTCTGTAGCACGACAAGCCTTTCGTCCTGATTTATCAAGTTCTTTTTTACTTATGGTTTGGTTTGCATGTCTAATGCAATTCCTTTCTCTCAGGTTAACAGGTAGTCTTCATGGGCTTTCCAAATATCCTTCCCCGTTCACTCTCGGATAACCGTAATAAACAGTTATCCTTGGAAAAATATCACCGGGCTTCTCATATCCAGTTTTCCTGGGCCGTGGTTGACTCCGTTGTCCCTTTCTTCTCCTTCTTGGTTTCCTCTTCTGCTTCCTCCTCATCCTCCTCTTCGGCGTCTTCCTCTGCCTCGCCGTCCTCGTCATCCGAAACCGGTGGTTCCCAAGCCTCCTCTAGTTTCCATCCTTGCCCCTTTGCTCGGTAGGTCGAAGTCAATAATTGTGACGTAGTGGTTCGGTAGTTGTCCAGTCCAGGATCTGTGTCTGTCTTGGTCGGTGGATCGTATAAACCCATGCCAACTAAAATCTCCCCCTCCTCTTCCTCCTCCTCCGGCTCTTCCAGTGGTTGATAGGGTATAGACTCCTCAGGTTGTACTGCTAGCTGCGGTTGTTGAGCAGCTTGGAATTCATCCGGAGTTGGTGGCGCTGTGCAAACATTGTACCCTTGCGTAGCATAACTATCCCAGTTGTAAGATTCCTGGCTGAACGATGGGAATGGCTCCGTTTCGGGGCTCTCATTAGCCATATAGTTAGGCATAAACTGGGGGGTGGAGTTCCACGTTTCCTGTGATATGTATGCTGGTGTGGCTTGCTGTTGACAGGCGGTATATGGTAGGCAAAGTGGCGACATAGAGGTCATGGGTGAGGTTTGTCCTGAATATGCCATGGGGGTGGGTGGTAAATTCTGGTATCCAGCGTAGATATCTGTTTGGTGGTATGGCATTGGTGCGGGCATGACATATTGTGAAAAGTCCGGCTGTGGCATAGGAATATGCATGTGTGGCTGCTCGATCTGTGAAGACGGATGCCAGCTGACTGGGCGGTTACTCCTCTTGATAGGGTCCTCTGGCGTGGAATAAGCTGCACACTCTTGCATTTGTTGCATGACAGCTTGGTCTAAAGCTTGCTGGCGCCGCCGAGCAATGGTGTTATCGTTCATCATAGTCCTTCGGCGTGCCATCATGGCCTGTGGGCTGTTACTAGCACTGCTTGGCTTTACAATGCGCATAGCTCCTGGTGTTCGTTGCCCAGTAGAACCCCGAGATATCCTCCGCATCGAGTCAGACATGGCGAACTGGCGTGATAGTTCATCGAAGGTTGGCTCTGATGGGAAGTTTTGGACCGGCAGATAAGACATATCTGCCCCTAAGAGTGAGGGCATCATGGTGAAAAGGTTGTGGTGGTGGATAGTTAGCAGTGTGAGGTAGGTTGTGAGAAGGTCACGAAGAGTTGAGAGGCTATGTGACAAGAGAGCTCATGGAGGTGGGAGGATGGCCAGATAAAATATGCGGCTGCTTCAAAGATGTACTTTAAGGCTACTCATCAGTGACTAAGAATGTGGACTGGTGAGAAGGCAAAGGGTTCATTTAAAAAAAGGATAAATCAAACTAAAAACGTGGGGAGAGTTGCTATGTGAGATGGCATACGGATGATTATATTGGGGCGGTAGGGCCGAGAAACAATAGCTACTTAGAGACATGGTCTGGTTTGGCATGTGTATGCATGTAAGTAAGTGCGTGTGTCTGCGCGTGTCTGCTTCACTTGTATGACGGTTCCCGCCTAGTTGTTTTATTTTTTTCTTCCTGCGTCATATGGTTCCGGCAGGGATCTGGTCGGTCTAAAAAGGGATCCTTCATTGTGGTGATAACCGGGGACGGGCGGATGGTGATGAGAACGTTGGCGTAGTGGACTAGGCTAGGTTGCAGCCTTTGACTTTCCTATTCCTTGCCCATGTACGTCCGTACTAGGTACTATCATACTACTATGTATGGTATATTCCATGTGGGCGGGCGGTCAAAGGAACGGGGTTTTTGACCATGAACATGAACGACGTCCAAAAAGGACAAAGGCCACTAGAGGGCCTGAAGCAGTAATCCTTGGCCCCCATCGCCTTGCCCCTTCCGTACCGTTGCTCTGCGGCGTAAACAAAAGGCGGGTTGAGTGTGGTAAGGGTTGTGGGGTGTGTGGTGTGAGAAGAAGGGGGGGTGTGTAGGTTTGTAGAACGTGAGCAGAATTTGACGGAAGGGTGCGTAGGGATGGGGAAAGGATGTGTGCTTATCCTAGCGTCGGCAAGGAGAGCTTTGCTTGACAACGGCTATTGATAGGCTCATTACATAGCATCTCAGGGGAGGGGTGTAGGCGTCAGAGGCGAAAAGGAGGCGTTGCCAGTTCATTAATCGGGTTTGCAGCAAGGCGACTGACCCTACCCAGGATGCAAATGACTGCAACGCATGTACATACCTACATACATTAGCACATACATTAGGTACTTACCTAGTTAATGTATTGTATTGTATTGTATTGTATTGTACATACATATAATATGCCTACATGCCTAGTTATAACAAGAACAAGTTAACCGTTCCGGTAAGATCCAGCAGATGCTTCTTCGAATCCGAGGCGGTTCCATCGGTAAGGTAACCCTGGACAGCATTGATATGACTGGCTCGATTATTGATACTAGACACACATACTGTGCCCTATTAAACAGACCCTTACTGAGGGATATGGTGCCGATAAGTTGGATACTATCCAGACCCGAGGGGTCTTTGGATAATTAACCACATCCGTAGCCGCTTTGTTACCACCATTGTAGGTATGTACAATACAGCTACTACAGTAGTATACATTAGTACCTACATTATATGTAGGCATGGACCGCGTAGTAGCCCAGGCTCTCCAGGCCTTAATAATGGGCTACCGCGCCAAGAGAAGGACACGCTTTCCCAAAGATGGAATAGGGGATAAAAGGGGTAAGATTTGGCGGAATGTGTGGGGAGTACGTGGAGGCGAATATGTACACGTTTGCGCCGTTAGCACCATTCTTAACTACTACACACTACATAGTTAATGTCTACATTACATACTACGGTGAATCTCACTCAAAGAAGTTAGATCTTCCTTTTTTTTTTTCTTTAGAGAATGTCAAATGTCATGGCTTCCTCTTCCTTCTTTCATAACGACTAATTATTAACCATGAGATCGTGTTAACCTAGATAGTTGCACTTTGCTTCGCCTAATCTTCATGTACTTCGCCCACGATCATATCATAGGTAATCTTGTATAGCACCAGGATCTGTGGGTTTAATGTACCACGTAACTATCGTACATACCACCACTGTCATGTAACTTGATGTAAGTGCTTAGACTTATTATTATAGTACTAATATAGTAATATGATGTTTCTGAAAGGAGGCTTCAAGATGCAGACAAGGGCTCTTTTTGTTTTGCATCACTTGTCACTGTTGTCAGCATGTTGAACATGAACATTGAATTTCAGATGTCCCACCATACATAGTAGATACATTGGTACATCAGTACCTGGTCCTATGTAGTATTCACTTGGCCGAGATCGTACCTGTGATAGTCGGGTTTTAAAGCCATCTGAAATGAACTATCTTCGGAACGATGATTGGATCTGAGTCAAAGCAGTTTCTTTTATGGGTTGGGTTGGGTAGGGTTCTATTTACATTTTGGAAGTGTGGGATAATCAGATTGACAGTACATACCATGTAACTGTGTATTGTACACTAATAGTACGTACTCATTTCAATACCTGAATACTTTGTAGTGTGTATGGATTATCAGATGTGAGACCCCACCGTTGCGCAGTAGGCTGCTTTTCCGGAAAGCTGCGCGTGCTCCTTGCCTTAAGTTCTTCAATGTCTGGCCCCTCTAAACAACCCAGGATGGATCTAATGGATCCAATGGATTCATTGGATTTGATGTTTAACTGTCGAGGCTTCACAGTCCCCCTAGAACAGCTAAAAACAGCTAGAACAGCTAGAACAGCTACCTGCAGGGATTAGACGGATCAATCCCTGCATAGGAACATTGAGCATCATTGAACCTAAATTCGTACCTAATAACATTGACTACCTAGTACCCTACATACATACCCTACATACCCTACGACGCCTACGTACCCTGGAATCCTGGATATTGTAGTTTGTACCTACATACTATGCCGTAGTACATAGGCTCCATGTTTGTTCCACCTTATCTTGAAACTACCATAGTAACTCTACGAGCCGTCTACTTCTTACACGTACAATATCCGGTATATCATGCAGCTAGGCGCTAAGACGATACTTTGCTCTACTTAGGTCTCGGAAATCCACCTCCTTATTTTTCGGCTTTACTGCGTAATTGCCCTGCACACTAGTCTTGCCAATGTATCCTTTTCACAACCGCTTGGACATCTCGCGTCGATTCGGGCTAGCTCCATCGACATGGCACGTATTCTTTAGTATTTCTCTAGTATCCTCAAGTATTGCATCTTATGACTGTCAATCTCATTGAAGCACTTGAGCTTCCAACATCCAATATCGAAACTGCAATACGTATGGCTGTGACAATATTGAAGTATCAATGTACATAGCATAGCATACCTACATGTAGTTACTATGTAGAGCTTGCGTTGCGTTGCGTTATTAGTGGCACCTAAAACTACTAGGTATTGTACAATACAAGTACCTACCTAGCCCAGCCCTTCCGGCCTTCAGCACCCAACCTAGCAGCTGCTTAATTAATACCTAGCAACGCTTATACATGCGCTATACGCTATGCGCTAAACTTGAGCGACAATCCCCAATCCTCAATCCCCAATCCCCAAACAACCAACTTTTTACAGCTTTCCAGTTTACCCAACTTACACGATGCATCGGTTACATCAACAAGTTTCATGGATCACAGCCGTTTATCCATCCCATTCCTACATACCATTGTAAGAAGCTAATAATGGATGGACATTTGTCAATCCTCAAACAACACACCGCAGACACATAATCCGCTCACTCCGCACGCACCTTTCTATGGGTTACCTTTATGGGCTACAAGAAAAAAAAACACTAAAGTAGCAAATGCAAATCACAAAAAGGGCCTCAGACAAGATTAGGCATTCCGCTTGCCTTGGTCTTGGTCAATAGACCGCTCACTAGGAGGCAGTTATTTGCGGGCATACAAACTCGTAACCTGACCACAACAGCAACAGCCGTGGCTGGTTGCATCTTTGCGTCTTTGCATCTTTGCATCTCTACATCTCTACATCTTCGCAACTTCGCAACTTCGCCTCTCCATTTGGTCTTGGTTTCGGTCTCAACTTACTTACCTACCTACATATTATCTCACCTAACATACATACATACAAAGTCAAGTATGTGTGTGTATGGTGGTAATATCCATGGTACAGTACGACAATAAAGTACTATAGTACGACTGGACGTACGAAGTGCGAAGTACTTATGTATCCAGCTCAGCCACCGATCAACGTAATTCATGGTCCTTATTAGCCTCTTGTCCGAAAGGCCTAAGGTTACTATACTACTATACTACTTATACACTAATTACTATCATTGATGTATGTATGTCGCTGTGCAAGGTAGGGCGCAGAATGAAACCCTCCATGCTTGGTGCCGTTAGTTCAAAGGCCCCAGACAGGTGGAAAAGATCCTGGTCTCAGCAGAAGGAGAAGCTAGTTTTGTTCTAGTTGTCCAAGTTGTCCATGACTCCATGTCCACCTGGGCAATCTCTTTCTCTCTTTTTATTCAACGGAGCTTCTGCCGGGCTTGTTATGAGTTATGAGTTACAACACAGCAAAATGTCTCGACCAACCAAATCCATTTTCCGGGATCCAACATGAACCTACCTAGCATTGCTGATGTTTGTTCTACCTAGTTCTACATACGCCAGTAGTACCTAAAACTCCCCAAACTCACAGGCTCTGATCGACCAATACTCATCCCTTCCCGGGATCGTTGAAGCACCCATCCAATACAATACTTGAACGTCGCACAAGCGTGCGTGATAAGCGGCTTGTCGAGCAGAATTTCCTTCCCTACACTACTATGGTACATGCCTACATACCTACATACCTAGTACCGTAGCCTTGCAATATATGTATGTGTAGTAGATGTCTGGGCTCTTGACGCTGGACGGGTCGGGCAGTGGGCTACAAATCTGATACTCTTATGATAGGTACTAAGTATACAAGTACACACATTGATACTCACACACATAGTTTGTAGTACATATATGTAGTTCATCTCGCATACGCCTCGGTCAGCGACGCTATTCCCATTGAAAGAAGACTCCGTCCAATGTGGTGGGCATGGATGACACCGAATAAGACTGATGCAAGCACACTGCGAGTCAGAGATCGGGATTACCATTTCTTCAAGTTCCACATCAATAACCTAAGCGTTCCAAAGCCCCCTCCCATTAACAAGTTCGACCAGTTACATAGGTATCCGTTTCGGCTAGCCACCCATAGCATTTACCTGCAGGCGACTTGTCTTATAGTGGGATCGAAAAGGTTTTGCATCCCGGGTTGCAAGTCACATTTCACTAGGACAGCCCACAAGGTCAAAAGAGCCTCGGTGAAACGAGACCCATACATACCTACCTAGTAGGTAGCAGGTAGCTATGTAGGACCATTGTAGGTAGGTAGGTATGTATGTGTGTATGTATGGCCTTATGCATGTCGGACCGGGCAGCTAAAACCAAAAAAAGATATTAATTTGTATGCGTGCCCAGGTGGTGTACGATTACTGTCCCTAACCTGGAGGAATACACTGCCAATACTACCTCCTGCTCCAGGGCAAACTCGGTACAACTCTGACATTCCTTTAAGCCAAGGGAACATTGAATATGAGGACGGCGATCCCTCAAGGCACTGGACTTACAGTACATGCCTACAGGCTACATAGCCTTGAACTGATGCCCGTCTTAGTGAGCACCGAGAAAGTGGGATGGACTCTACATAACATTGTA